TAACACTAGTTTCTCGGTGTTTTTAATATGAACAGTTGCTGGATTTTGTTTAAGGCTTTTTTCTGCCTATATTGAGATTTTCATTCCCTTCCTGTTTTTAATTCTATTTATGTGCTGAATTACATTTGCTGATTTGTATATATTGAACCAACTTGCATCCCTGAGATACAATCATCTTGTCTATGTGGTATGGCCCTCCTAACTTGATTTTTAAATTTTTTAATACCTTTATTTATTTTTTTGTGGTGCTGAGGATCAAACCCAGTGCCTCATACATGTGAGGCAAATGCTCTGCCCTGAGCCACAATCTCAGTCCCTCTTAAAGTGTTTTTGAACACAGGTTTCTAATGTTGTGTTTAGGATTTTTGCATCAGGGATATATTTTATTAAGGACATTGTGTTAATAAGGGATATTGTTCTGAGGTTTTCTCTTCTTGTCGTCTTTGGTTTAGGCATCAGGTGACATGGGCTTCATAGCATAAATTTGAGAGTGTTAAATCTTCTCTTTCTATTTCATCGACTAATTTATGGGAGATTAACATAATTTCTTCTTTTTAAATCTGGTAAAGTTGGCTGAGGCTCCATCTGGTCCTGAAAAAAAATTTTTTTTGGTCAGATTTTATTTCAATCTAATTGCTTGATATTGTTCTGTTTAGATTTTCTTCATTTTCTTGGTTTGTTTTGGGTAGGTCACATTTGTCTAAGAATTTAAAAGTATTTTCTAGGTTTTCCAGTTTATTGGAGTGTAAATTTTCAAAACATTCCTAAAGATCTCCTGGATATCAGAAGAGTCATTGGTGATATTTTCTTTCTCATCTCTTTTTAATAATTTAAGTCTTCTCTCTCTTTTGGTTAGTTTTTATAAGGGCTTATAAATCCTGTTTATCTCTTTAAAGAGCCAACTCTTTGTTTCATGAATCTTCATATTTTTATTCTCAATTTCACTAATTTTGGCTCTAAAATATTTTCTGTATTCTACTGATTTGGACACTAACTTGTTCTTCTTTTTCTAACACCTGGAAGGATAGTGTCAGATGGCTTATTTAATATCTTTATTTTTTGAATGTAGGCACAGAATGACATAAACTTTACTCTTAGAACTGCCTTCACACTATCTTGTAGATTTTAATGTGATATCTCTGTTCTCATTTGTTTCTCAGAATTTTTTAAATTTACCTTCTGATTTCTTCTATGATCCATTCATTATCCAGAAGTGTCTTATTTAATCTTCAGTTGTTAACAATGTTTTCTATTTTTTTAACTTGTTATTGATTCCTAATCCAATCCCACTATGACCTTAT